CGTCCGATCCTGGCACAGGAGAAGCTGGGGCAGGCCCAGCTGCTAGCAATGTCCTGCCTACTGCTGCAGCCTCCTGCCTGGGGGGAAGGCCAGACAGCCCTGCCCAGCAGGCCACAGTCCCTGCCCAAGGCCCTCGCCGCCCTCCAGATGAGCCCTCGCTCTCCCAGTTTCTGGACTGGCTCTCTTCCCTCCTTGGTCACCGCGGGCTTAGTCCTGCCAGGGCCTCTGCACCGGCTATCCCCCAGTGGGGTGCCCCCACCTTTGCCGCCTTCCAGGCCCTTCTCACGATGGTCCCCTAATGAGTAAGCAGACAGCCTGAGCTGCCCGTCATGAGTGCCATCCCCTCAGGCCCAAGGGAGTCCCTGGGACAGGCTCCAGCTGCTGTGCCTGCACCGGTACTGGGCTGCAGGGCTCACGTGTTGCGAGCCCAGAGTGAGATCTGTCAGGGCTGGTCTGAGACCTAGTGCCTGGAGAGGCTTGTGCAGGCCTGGCACACGTGTGCTGCCCAGACACCCTTGGGAACCCCGGCTCCCATGCTCTCTCCCAGGCTGCTCCACCTGCAGCCCCACAGCCCAGCCTGCTCCGCCCACCACGGGACCCAAAGCATTGTCTCAAAATCGGTTTCTGGGAACCCCCAGGCACTCCCTGTGCTCCACGGCAAGGCTCACCCGCAACGGCCAAGCTCTGGTCCCCCCACACCTGCTGGGCACTGGAGTTCCCCTAGAGGTAACCAGAAGGCTCTGCCCAGGCTGTCTCCAGAGGACCGTCCCGGTCAGGCTGCAGGCCCCCCTCCCAGCAGCTATGTGAGAGGCCACTGCAGGCTGCCTCTTCCGCAGCGGGGCGGCCGTGGGAGGCAGAAGTGCCGAGCGCAGAGCCTGGGGCTGCAGCTGTTCACGGCCATAAAGCCCCAGCAGCAGAGGCCCCGTGGACACAGGTCTCCAGGTCACGGCCCGCCTGGTCTGGCCCCTTGCAACCTGCCAGCTGTGGACATTGGGTCCAGGCCGCACGCTGGGGCCTGAAACCAGGCTGCACAAGCCCTTCTGGCTTCAAGTGTGCCACGTGTCCCTAGCTCTGGGCACCCAGGTGAGCTAGGCCAGGGTAGCAGCCTCCCTCCCTGTCCCCACCGTCCTCCCCAGCCACTCTCCCCCGCGGAGGGGCGGCCGAGAGCCACTGCTGACACTTCCAGAGAGAGGCGCAGGCCTCAGCTATGCCCGCAGCCCACCTGGCTCCTCGGGTCAGCCCAGCCTCCGTGAGAAGGCGCAGCACAAACAGGAACTGGAAGGACAGGCAGGAAACACGTGGGGGAGGGCGGCTTAAACCAGGACTGACCTAGAGCGTGGCCACAGCAGACATCCTAAAGCAAGCGCAGGGCGGTGTGGGCGTCCGAGGGGTGGGAGCTGCCAGACTGTGCAGGTGCTCACGGTGAGGCGGGAACTTCCTGAGGGGAGAGCCTGGCTCGGGGGCTTGTTCAGGGCCACGGGGCCAGGATCGGCCCCTAGGCACCCTGGGCAGCACGGCATGCACCCCTGGGGGCGGGCACAGAACCCCGCCAGCCTCACCGACCCCCAGCTTCTCTCCAGGCTGCTGAAGACCTCGACTCTCCCTGCTCGGGCGGCAGCACTCTGAGGAGCAGCTGCAGAGGGGTCTGGGGCGCAGGTGCCAAGCACACGCTCCACACTGCTCACCCAGGGGACAGGCACAGCCAGGCCTCAGGCAGGCAGGGGCAGGTGGGCGGGGGTGGCGTCTCCACTGTGTGGCTAGAATTCAGTGAATGCCAAGAATCAAGTCCAATGCAAAAAACCATCTGTCGGAATAAATCACATAAGACACGCCTGTCTGTTTAAATTATAAATGCCAACACTGTTATAAAAATAATAGTGTGGCCCTTTTTATTTCCTTTAATCAGAAAAATATGCCCCACGTTTCCAAGATAGAGGCCTTAGGGAAGCACCAGAAAGGGGCTTGCCTGAGGGGGGGGCTCAGGGCTGCCCTGGCTGGGCAAGGGGACATCAAGCTGCAGGGGTCGAGGGCCCTCACCCCAGAGCCTCTGCAGGACCCAGGGAGGGGCCTCTTGAGTAGGGGTCTGGGGGCGGCAGCTGGCCTGGAACACGGGGTGGCCGTGTGCCCTGCAGTCCATGCACACGCAGCAGCGAGCCGTGCCCGGCCAGAGACCCCAGGCGACCAACGCCGCTCTCCGGACATGGAGGCCTTTGCAGGGCTGAAGGCTACCAACAGCCCCCGACTCTCGGAGGTCTGGAGACGGAGCGGCGGTGGAGGGGGACTCAGAGACAGCCCTGCGGGACAGGAGCCGCGAGGGTGTGGGACAGGGCTTTCCCAGCATGGCCCTGGACCCCTGCACCCTGAGGCTCTCCCGCGTGGAGACGCGAACAGCTGCCTTTCAAAGGGAGCCCCTGAGTGGAGACAGCAAATCCTGAGAAGTGGGTGGCAACATCCAGGCCACACCAGATGGCCTGACTGTGTCCCTCCTGAGCCCGCAGACCCTCAAGGGGACACCAGCATCATCCCATGGCCTGAGTGGGCAGGGCTGCAACAGGAAGCCTGGTGGCAGAATCCCATCTTGCTGGATTCACGAGGCTATTCTGCCTGGGGGCAGGGAATGCACATGGGTCAGGCGGGGTGTGGCAAGGCCGTGGCTGGCACCCCTCCCTCAAAGACCACACAGGCCCATGTGCCCAGGCACACATGCACACACACCTGCACGCGTGCACGGAGACAGATGCAGCCTGTGTTGGCAATTCAGAGGCACAGAAGGACGCTGAGGGGCCCCTGCAAGCTCTGAGCCCCTCCTGGGGCACGTCTGTCACGAAGTGACACCCACGGGGCACTGTGACACCGCAGGGGAGGGCATGGCACGTGGCAGGAAGCATGGAGTCATCTCCTCTCTTGGCTTGGCCTCGGCCTGATCACAGCCCTCCTGCCTCTGGCCAAGCTCAGTGTCCAACAGCAAGCAGCTGGGGCCTGTCTGGAGAAGGCCTCGGGCCAGCGCAGCCAAGTATCTCAGGCCCTCGGACGCAGAGCTGGGGTGGTGCCTGCAGGGACTCAGGCTCCAGGGCTCACAGACGGGGCCTGCCGGGCCGCCCCTGGGGCACAGGACCGTGGCCACCGTGCCCTGAGGGGCTGGCAGGGATGGCCCAGGAGCGAGGGCTGGGGCTGCCGGGCCGGCACCAGATCCAAGAGGGACCTCCGCGGCTGGCACAGGGGCCTCAGGAGAGGTCGGCGGGGTGGGCCTGGCTGCCCCAGGAGTGAAGGGCGCTCAGGGATGGGAAGCAGCGGCTGGGGTTTGCAGGACTGACAGGGGCCCATGAGCGACCGGAGGGGCTGGCAGGGCTGCTCCGGGCCCATGAGTGGCCGCTTGGGGGGGTGGGGTTGCTCCGGGCCCATGAGTGGCCGCGTCTGTTGGCCCGACTGTCCTGGGCCCAGCAATGAAGGTTTGGGTGGACTGGGCTGCTCTGGGGCTTCAACCAATGGCTGACTGAGGCCTAGCAATGACCTCCGGGGGCGGCTGGGATGTCCCAGGAGAGCCCTGCGGGGATGGCCATGTGGACGGGGGGCTATGAATGCCCGCCAAGGGCAGCAACACTGGCCTGAGAGGGAGCCAGGTGGCCGGCGGCGTGGGCGCAAGGTGAGGAGTGACCGCGGGGGCTGGCACCATTGGCATTGGGCTAGCAGGGACCGACGGGGCGGGCAACACTGTCCAGAGGAAGCCCTACAGGGCTGGCCATGGAGATACGGGGTCAGGAAGGACCGCAGGGACCGGCAGCGGTGACACGGGGTCAGCAGGGACCGCAGCGGCCGGCAGCGGTGACAGGGGGTCAGCAGGGACCTCAGCGGCCGGCAGCGGTGACAGGGAGTCAGCAGGGACCGCAGGGGCCGGCAGCGCTGCCTGGGGCCTGGGAATGCCCAATGTGTCCTGCATGGCTGAACTGGGCGTGACCGCTGGGGCCTGCAGAGCTGATCTGGGGCATGAAGCAGCCGCTGGGGCCAGCGGTGCTGCCCAGGGCCCAGAAGTGACCGCCGGGGTTGGCAGGGCTGTCTCGGGCCCGGAAATGATGGCTGGGGCCAGCTGCGCTGACCCGGGAGTGACCGCTGGGACTGGCAGGGCTGCCTGGGGTCCGGGAGAGCCCGACGGGGCTGGCAGCGCTGACAGGGGGCTGGGAGGGACCCCTGGGGCTGGCTGGCTTGGCTGGGCTGGAGCTGCTGCTGCCGCTGGGCCGGGCGGTTCTGGTCCCAGGGGTTGGCTGGGAGCGGCCCCCCTTCTGGGGAGCACACCTGCATGGAAGAAAGAGCACGTGTCCACCTGGGCAGGGGTGCCTGTGGACCCCCCATCCAGCCCGGGCCCGACACATGCTGCCCCCGCTCCAGCGGCCCCTCCCGAGGGAGCTGGGCGTGGCGCTTGAACAGGGAGCAGGTGCAGACCGGCGGCTCCTGGGGATGCAGCTGCATGAGGAGCTGCGACCCGGGCAGACTCCATGCCAGAGATGTCCCGCCCACTTTCACCTGTTCTCACAGCCTTTCCAGGCCACAGCTTTGCCCCCATCCAGGCAGGCAGCCCTGTTCTGGGCTCTGCTTGGCACCTGGACCACCCACACGTCACGTGGCTGAGCACTCCCCGGCCCACGTGCGGTCTGGCTGTGGGCACAGCAGGAGTGCGTTCAGCTCCAGCCTGGCCCTGCGCTCGTCAGACACGCTGGACACCGTGGACCTTGTAGTCGGCGGAACCTGACCGACGCAGCGGGGAAGCGGGGCCAGCCTATCAGTGCGGCGCCGGCCCCTCCCCTCCTGCCCCAGGGAGGCCTCCGGAGCTGTGGCCTGGGCAAGTCCCTGCACCCGGCGAACCACCCTGGCCCCTGCCTGTCCTGCCCCAAGCCCCGCCCAGGTGTGCCCATGCCCTAAGCCGGACACCGAGGAAGCCCAGACACTGGTGAGGGAGTTGTCCCGGCTGCTCAGAGCGCCCAAGAGGGAGGGCGGGCAGTGCTCACCTGCTTGGACGGCTGCAGCGGGGCCTTCCTGGCGCCCGCCTCGCAGGCAGGCTCCACGTCCTGCCCCGGGCTGCCCGGCTGGGGGGGCTGCTGGCTCTCGCGTGGCTCCGCAGCCGGGCAGCGCTCCTGCTCCCGCGGCTTCTTGATGCGGCGCCGTTCCCACTTCTCCTTCCGCTCCTCAGGTTTCAGGGCCATGTCCTTCTGCAGGGAGGAGGGAGAGCTGGTCAAGTGGTGGGGACGCCCAGGGGGCCAGGCCACGCCGATGGGCACCTGGCTCAGGACAGCGCCTACCTGGAGGTGGAGCCCACCTGAGTGGGCGAGGGGCCTCCCACCTGGGACCAGTGAGAGGGTCCATCGGAGCTGAGGCGCAGGGGTGAGCAAGTTTACTGGAGGGCTGCGCTTGGGGCCTGCTGTGCGACAAGGCTCACTCTCACACCAGTGCTCCGAGCCACCTGCCCCAGGTGGCACCCCCACCCACAGGGAGTGCTCCCCACGTGACATCCCCCACCCACGGGGAGTGCTCCCCACGTGACATCCCCCACCCATGGGGAGTGCCCCCACGTGATACCTATACCCACAGGAAGTGCTCCCCACATGACACCCTATACCCACAGAGAGCATCCCCCATGTGACACCTATACCCACAGGGAGTGTCCCCATGTGACACCTATACCCACAGGGAGTGCCCTCCATGTGACACCTATACCCACAGGAAGTGCCCTCCATGCAACACCCTATACCCACAGGGAGTGCCCCCACGTGACATCCCCCACCCACAGGGAGCACCCCATGTGACACCCTATACCCACAGGGAGTGCTCCCACGTGACATCCCCCCACAGGGAGCATCCCCCATGCAACACCCTATACCCACAAAGAGTGCCCCCACGTGACACCCTATACCCACAGGAAGTACTCCCCACGTGATACCCTATACCCACAGGGAGTACTCCCCACGTGACACCTATACCCACAGGGAGCATCCCCCATGTGACATCTATACCCACAGGGAGTGTCCCCATGTGACACCCTATACCCACAGGGAGTGTCCCCCATGTGACACCTATACCCACAGGGAGTGCCCCATGATACCCCATACCCACAGGAAGTGCCCCCACACGATACTCCCACCTGCAGTGAGTATCCCCCATGTGACACCCTGCACCCTGAGGACATGCCCCTAAGCGGCAGCCCACACTCACGGCAAGTACCCCCCAGGCATAGCCTCACTGCCTCCTGGAGACTGAGAGGATCTGGCCAATGCTCCCAGGGCCAGGACAGGACAAGGGGCAGGACAGAGACCCCTGCCCTGGCCAACCTTTCAGGCAGTCAGACCCAGGGACACCCCACAGGCACCTGCACTCCCGCTGGCCTCTCCTGGGCCCCGGTCAGCCCCTGGCTCCACTCCCAGTCCTTCACGCACAGCCTGTCTCAGCCCAGGCCCCTCACTTCTGCATTCAGTGAGTGACACAGAGCCTCCTGTGTGCCAGCTTGGCTGCAGGTACCAGGGCCGTCACAGGAGGGAGTCAGACAGTGCGCGTCAGGTGGCCGGTCAGTGGACAGGGAACCACAAAGGGTCCTCTCAGGAGGGGCCGCTGTGACGAGAGCACCTGCAGGGGCGTCTATGGTGACCAGCAGAAGCAGGGTGGTCAGGCCAGGCGGGAGGACTGGCCGCTGTGTGTGGCCACAGGTGTCTCCCCGGAGGGTGACAGGGGTGAAGGTTGTGGCAATGCCACAGCACACTCCCCAGCACCCGCGAGCTCCAGCTGTGCTGTTCCCACGATGCAGCCCTGCAGGCTCCCCACAGCCTAGCCGAGGCAGGAGTGCGGTGCCGCGGGGCCACCTGGTCGTCCTGCCTCAGGGCAGAGCCTGTCAGTCACTCTGCTGCTTCAGCCCCTACCCAACCTCGGGGCTCCTGACCTCGGGGGTCCTAGCCTTCCACGGGCCCTGCCCCCATCCAACCTGACACAACTGTCAGCACCCTGTGGCCAGCCACCAGCGTGGCCCTGAGAGCAGTAAGGCGCAAGTGCCTGCTCGTCCACCGAGGACTGGTCAGGGCATCTGCGGAAGTCACAGGACAGGGCTGAGGGTCTGCCTCTGGACGAAAGCTGCAGCCAGGGCTTCCTGCGGCGAGGCCACACAGCACGGGGCCAGGGTCACCCGGGCAGGGTCTCCACAGCCGCGCTCGGGGCCCTCAGGGCTCGGCTTCCATCTCAGCTGATGCCTGGCGTCTACTCTCCTAAGAAGTGTACTTTCTTTCTTCTTTTTTTTTTTTTCATTTAAGATGTATTTATTTATTTCAAAGAGTTACAGGGTGAGAGGAAGAGACAGGGGGAGATCTTCCATCCACTGGTTCATTCCCCAGATGGTCACAATGGCCGGGGCTGGGCCAGGCCAGTCAGGAGCCAGGTCTCTCATGTGGATGGCAGGGACCCAAGCATTAGCAGGGAGCTGGACTGCAAGTGGAGCAGCTGGGACTCAAACTGGCGCTCATACGGGATGCCAGCGCTGCAAACCGTGGCCTAACCCAAAAAGTGCACTTTCTCTTCTTCTGCAAACCTTTGCTGTTGTTATTATGTGCGCTGCGTCTGACGCTCAAAAGAACCTACACCTGGTCTTCGTCTGCCCACTGCACCAACCCCTGCACTGCACCGAGTTTATGTGGGGCCACCAGGACGGGCCCTGCAGCTCACGCTCAGCTCAGCCTCATCCGGGCTGGAGCTCAGGGAAGCCACCCAGCTTACGTAGGGCACCAGGACAGCCCTGCAGCTCACGCTCAGCACAGCCTCAGCCGGGCTGGAGCTCAGGGAAGCGGTACAGGCGATGCGGCTGCCTGCGACCCTTCTGCCTTGTCCCCCACGGAGCTCAGCACAACGCAACAAGCCCACTGGGCAGAGTCACAGCTCACAGACACAGACCCAGTGCTCCCCTCTCCAGCCGGGCAGGGAGCCCTCGCTCCTGCAACCACACGGGGTCTCCTTCCTCGAACCCCCCACCTTTACCTGCAGCCCGTGTGACCACATCCCCAGGAACAGGCACGGGAAGCTGCTCCCCGCCGGGCCAGGCCCTTGTGCCGCCACCCAGCTGCAGGGCTCTCTGGCACGTCCTCTGCCACTCACTTCCCCACCTTGAGCACTTTCAGAACTGCAGCCCCACCCACCCATTCTCCTCCTGTAAACCTGCCTGTTCTGGCTGTGTTCCCCCTGTGTGCTTACCGGAGTGCCCACCCAGCCACGCCCACTGGTGCCACGTTCCCAGGATTCCTCTCACCTCAGACTCCTGCAGCAGGCCCTTGCCCCAGGGAGACCTCCCCAAGACAGGCTTGGGGACTTTCGCTCGTCCTCCATTGAATAAAGTGGGAGCAGACTGCTGCCCACTGCACCCAACATCCACTTGGCCTCCTGGGTTCTTTCCACATGGAGTCCAGCGGCACTCACTGACCCACGCGTGACCCTCTGGGGCCTTCACCTCCTGGCATCATCAGCACGCAGCTGTGCGTGTGATGGGGCTGCCCTGTAGGGAGCAGGTGCCACCCCACCTGGCCTAACCATTCCTGCTTCACCCGGGCAAAGCTCTGAGCACCCGATGCAAGCTGCCCACGGGGGTTCCGTGAGAAGGCCTTGAGGACCCTTGCTGTGTGCTGGGCAGAGACAGAGCAGATGCACTCTGTGGCCATCAGGAGTTGGATACAGGGCAGACAGTAGCAGGCATGGGTGGGCAGGGCGGACCAGGGAGGAGCCGGGTCCATGGGCAGAGGAGGACAGCGGGGGCTGGAACAAGGGGCAGGCCGGAGGGTGCAGGGATGAGCTGCAGCAACGTCACCCACTGCAACCCCTCGCTGCCTGCAGAGGCCACCCCAACCAAGTCCTACCAAGGTTTCGTGTTCACATTCCTGGCCGACAAGTCCCTCCCTCCAGCTCCAACTGCTCACGCCCAGCACAGCACGACACAGCCCGGCTCTTCAGACCTCAACAGGGCTGGAGCTAGGACCTGCCCCTCACGGGGTCCACTGAGGACAGCCAAACGGGCTCCTGGGGGGCAGCTGGCACTAAGGCTGTCAGCTGGGGCGCAAGAGGCCTGGACAGGATGGTGGGCACCGCACAGGGAAGGACGCAGGGCTCCCTGGCCTGAGCCAGCAGGCAGCACAAGGGCTAGTCTGTGGCCAGCTCTTTACAAAGGCCGCAGCTTCAGTGGATTCTCAGCACACATGGGCAAAACATCAGAAGCCGGTGTCCGTGTCGGATGAAGAGTGGCAGGGAGGCAAGTGCCAGGGACACTGGCAGGCAAGGCTGTCCCGGAGGGTATGGATACTCCAGTCCAGACCAGACCATGCCACGAAGATGGCAGTGGCCAGAAGAGGAGAGGTCACGGGCCACAGGGCCAGGACAAGCCCTTTGTACATGGCTGACTTCCGCCCCAGGCCCTTCAAGTCCTCGATGGTGGAGCCAGTGCCATGCCAGGCGCCTCAGCTCCCTCCTGTGCAGGCCAGCCAGTCCACCCGGGGGCCCCAACTTCCCCTGGACCAGGGAGCCCCATCTGCCCAAGGGGGTCTCTCACTCTGGCTTTGGAGAGAGGTGGGATTTATTCCAGGACAGCAGGAAACGCCTGGGGGCCTGGGCCAGGCAGTTACTGAGGTCTGAGGAGCCACGTTCACCGCCAGTGTGACCCAGGAGAGCACCGGGACCGGTGGCGGGCCAGAGCCCACGGCCAAGATGACCAGTCCACCTCTTGCCTCAGGGCCCCAGAGGACAGCTCCAAAGGTCCAGGTCACTCTGCATCTGCCAGAGATCACTGCTCCCTGCCCAGCTTTCTGCCACGTGGTCCCTGGAGATGGACACATATCCACGTATAGCACAGGACATGCACGTGGCTCAGGACAGCCAAGGGCCCGCTGAGACGTAAGGAACAGCACCTGTGCCTGAGGGTCCGGGGGGGACTCTGGCCTTCCCTGAGAGGCCCAGGGACCTTCTGCCCTCAGGGCCTTTGCACACACCCTGCAGATGCTCTGCACCCAGCTCCTGGGAGTGCAAGCCCAAGTTCTAATCCTGTCACTGCACCCGGCTATGCCTCTGTTTCCTTGTCTGTGGGCTGAAGACAGCACAGCACCTGCTGCAGAGGCTGCTGGGAGAAAGAGAAGACTTAGTGCAAGGCACAGCCCAGAGCCTCACCTGCCCCTCACCACTCCCAGTTCCATCACTCCGC